AGCAGGAAATTTCCATTGCAGAGTTTTTGTCTTCTCTAAGGGGAAAAGACGGCTGAACCTTGATTTTTTTTTTTTTTCCCCAAACAGGAAACTAGATTTCAAAAAGACACAGCCCTGTTCTCCTCAGGTAACACAGTCTTATTTCTTGATGAGAATTGGCTACATGAACCAGATAGGAAGTCTGGAACCACAGCCAGGTTTGCGTAAGCAAATCCAATAGGAGTTCTGAGCCACTCATTATATCCTAAACTATTGAGCCCGTTGTGCTCTAACTTTTCAATCAAATCAGTGCAGAAGTTTTTTATTTTTTATTTTTCATATGGGCTGAGTTTTTTTTCTTCCCTGATGAACACCTTTCAAAGCAATATGGTAGAAAAAAAAAAAGAATAACTAAGAGAGTGTTAATAAGGGAAGGCCTTTTCAGCCTTGGTATCGTAAAATCATACTCAGGATATTGAAGTTTCATTTTCTTTGTAGGTTGTGCGATTTATGTCTGTGCCATGCACTGTGAGGTGTACCTCATTTATTAACTGCCTGGATGTTTCTAGGCAAAAAGTCAGTGAAAATGATTAAAACCAAAGGTGGCAAGCCAGCAGCCACCTCTTCCTGTGCTACGGTCTTCGATGACGCAGACTGTAAAATCAGGATAATGGAAATTAAATCGGGGAAGAAAAATGCTTCCCCAACCTCTGACTTTCCATGTCTCCTCATTATCACTGGAGCAGGTTTGAACATGACTGCTGCAGAATAGTTTTAGCTGCACAGACAGTTACTAATAGACCTCGTTCTGCCCGGGAGGACATTTGAGACTTCCGTCTGTGGTGCTCCAGTGAAAGCAGATAGGATCGAGGGAGTTGTCTGGTCTGTATTCTCTAAGGCTTGTTATGGCTTTGGGGCTGGTAATCCTTCTTTCCCACATTATTCATTCATGCGCTCACTCACTCACTCATTCACTCACTGAACAAATATTCATTGAGCCCAAAGAGCATGTCATGTTAGGTTCTTAATAAAATAGTGTAGAAAATAGGCATGGTTCTTACCTGAAAGCATCCTATTTTGGATGGATGATCAAGGACCATCTCTCTCAGGAGGTAACGTTTACACTGAGACTTAGGACAAAGCATCAGCTATGTGAAGAGCACAGAAAAGAACATTTTTTTTGACTGGAGGTAGAGTGAGTGTGAGGGGCCTGAGCAGGGAAAGAGCTTGACACACTCCAGCACTGAGAGCAGCTGAGTTTGGCGGGAGCCTATGGCCCAGGTGTAGCGGAGTGTGGGTGGGGATGGAATGCTAGGCAGGGGCCCTGCAAGGCCAGCCAAGGAGTTTGGGTTGAGTTTTGAGTAGAGTGGTAGCCACTGATGAGAATGACATGGTCCACATATCTGTTAACAAAGATCACTTTGGTTGCTGTGTAGAGAAGAGACCAGACAGGGACAAGGGTGGAAGAAGAAAGATTAGTCCCAAGGTTATATAGAGTAGTTTAATGAAAAGATGACTGTGTTCTGGTTGAAGGTGGGAAGATGGAGACTAACAGCCATATTTGGGTCTAACTGATAAACGTGGCTGTGGAGTAGGGTTGAAAATTAACTATTCAAATGAGTCTCCCACACTACTCCAGACGGCCTCTAGATGTGTGGTATGTGTGCAGGGCAGAGGCAGCGGGGGTTATGAGTCCTCATGTGGTTGCTTGTGGGTCCCTGTGCTGGGGGCCTCACTGGCCTCTGCTGGTGACCGTCATGTCTAGTCTGGGCCTTGGGTCCCTTGTGTGGACATGCTGTACTGATAGAAGACTGCTGAGCTTGTGCTGTCATGTTTTTGCTTCAGTTGGACCTCCTGGGCCTCCGTGGATGGCTCAGCCTCACCTCAGGGCTCATCTGGGTCCTCCACTGGGCTCCTGCCTAGGCTTTGGCACCTCTGTGTTAGGGTCACCCTCCCTTCCCTGTCATGGCATGTGAGAACCTCTAAGTCCCTGACTCACTATGGAAAGGGCGATAGGAGGCGTGGAGATGCTGACTTGTCCTCTTCCTGATTCTTCAGACTGGGTGGCATTTTTACTTTGATGCAGCCGGCCCTGTGTGTGTGTGTGTGTGTGTGTGTGTGTGTGTGTGTGTGTGTGTGTGTGGAGGTTGCCCTGCCAGTTTTCCTCTGAAGCTCCCCACCCGCACCCCTGGATTTTGGTTTGAATAGGGAGCTAAGACACGTGTAAGTCCACCTGCTTGCTTCTCTTTCGTCTGTTTCCTCTTTTTTCATACTCCCCTGAGGTGGGAGCGGAAGATCTCTTACTTCTTTCCCCCCTTGATAAGAATTCACCTGATGTCACATCCTTGTCTTCCACAGGACAGTGGGCTTTGTGGCCCAGCTGTCATTTGCAACCCCTTTCTATGCTATATGAGATACTTGAAGGGGTGGATGCCAGCAGGCTGGCTCTTCATATGGGAACCACGGGACTATGGATTATTGAGGTTGAGAACACATTGGTTTATTCCTCCAAATTATTGTCCTTGTTACCCTGAGGATTAGTAGACATCGCCAAAGTTGTCAGCACGAGCATCAACTGGGGTCATAGTTCGGTTTATATTGCTGAAGTTGCTCTCTTCTGCCTAGAGGGTATGTAGTTGCCTAAGCAGGGCAATAAAGCATTCTGTGATATGGCCTCAGGGCAGCCTCTCATGCTGTCTCTTGCTGCCTGTCTTCCCATACCCTGTGCTCTGGCCAAATTGGATTTCTTGGTGCTTCTCGCGTGCGCTTCATTCCTTCATGCTTTTTTACTTCAGGGCTCTGGCTTCCGTAGTCCATGTCTTATGCAATGCTTCCCGTGTTCCTTTCTCCTCTTTTTGCACTTTTCATTAAAGTCCTACACATCCTTCGAGGCCCGGCTCATGTGCTGTGTCTGAGGTTTCACCTTCAACTTGGGACTCTCGCTACTCCCTCTGAGGCTCTCATTTGCCTTCATTGCAAACCTTACCAATTCCCGTGTTGTGTTAGTGTCTATGTGTTAGTGTATATGTCTGCTTTTTTCTTCTAGATTATAAGCGTCTGGGGTGGGAGGCACCAGACAATACACAGCCATATATGGACTGTATATCACTGTCACCTGTGCCTCCTGTTACCTTGCCTTGCACACAAAGGTACTTGATAAATAATGAGTACGCAACCACACTACATAAAGCTCTCTAAATCTCACATTAAAAGCTTCCAAACAAGTAGAAAGGTGCTGTTTTTCCTAACATTTGGTGGCACTTTTCTATTAAATCTCCATGCAGACTTCTTGGCCTGAGATAGAATGAGCTGTGGGAAGCAGCTTTTCAACCTTTTCTCCCAGGCCCATGAAATAGAATGTCATTTTATTTACAGGAGTCTGTGGAGGCCCCCCAAACATGGCAGCACAATCATATATCAGAAACCCCTATCATAAATGAGCCGGATAGGATAAGCCAACTTGAAAGAGAAAATAAAATATTATAACCCCAACTTGAAAAGAAAATATGGTGTGCGGTTTATTGCTGTGGATTACGAAGGAAGAAAGAATGGATTTTAAGTCAAAAACAGAAAAGCAGTGACAGTCTTTAAACTCAATACAGTATTCACAGGGCAGACACTCGACTTTAGAGAACCAAAGCTTCAGGCTCCTGCTCTGGTCTATAAAAATAGATGTAAAATTGCTTTTGCTACATTATTAGTGCTGCATTATTAGTGTGCCATTCTCAAGGCAAGGAATGTTTTAGGGGAAAAAAATGAACTTTGGTACTTTCAAGTCAGAGTCTGTTGGTCAGAATCTCACATTGCATTTTAAAGACCTTTAAAGATTGCAGCTTTGGGAAATTCCACTCTGACAAAGTAAGATGGAAGAGGGACTTGGAAAAGATTTGCAACGTAAGAAAATCTTTAGCCATCCTGGTAATAAGTTCTGCAACAATCAGAAATGGGAAGGTGGTCTTCAATGAGATTCCTTTCTTTCTACAATCACCTTCCATTGAAAGCGCCTTGCCTCCTTTCCTGAGCTCCCTCGCCCCTACCCCGAAGTCTCTGTTGCTTGAAGATAGTGAGTCACTGACATCTGGTTTAGACACAAAAATATCAAAAATGCCTCCCATGACCAAGGCTGAAAGTGGAAACGTAAGAACACATGTGGAATTTGTTGGTCAGGCTTGGTCTAGTCTGGGGGCACGGGGGTGGTGTGTACAACCGTCGCTGAGTTCGAAGGGGCTAAGGTAAGATGTGATAGAGAGGGGCTTATGCTCTGAGTGGAGGTTGAACCAGATGGCCCCTGAGGACCCATCCAACCTGGGTCACACAGTCATTCATGTCTTCTGATTTGCTTGTGAGCCTTGGGGACTGGATGTAGCCTGTCCCACCGGGTTCCCCCGTTCATAGATTTTCCTTTGGATGCAACCTTGATAAAAGTGCAGCTACTTTTTATGTCTTTTACAAGACCATTTTAGGTCATTAAATGAACCATCTCAAGGGGCAGGGAAGGGACAACTAAAGTGAAATGGCAAGTGCAGTCAATTATATGGACCTTTCAGCCTGAGGCAGGTTGTCTGGGGGTCCAATTCCATTGGATTGGATTGACTGAATCCATTTGTTCATCATTCACTCACTTGCTCACTCACTCATTCACTCAACAAATGCTTTTCAAGTTCTTCCTGTGTGTCATGTACCACGGACTTGACCATTGCCTAGTTTTCTATTTCCATGCCTTTGTGTGTCTAGGCAAGTGATTTATCACCTTTTCTGGGGCAAGAAAGGTGAGCAGAAGAGAGTTTATAGTCACATACTGGGAAGACCTCAGTTTTTAGGGAGAAGTGGGTCAGGTGGGTCAGACATCTGGGTGCCAGGCCCATGTCCTATATCAACTTCCATTTAAATCTCAGACTTAAAGGAAACTAAATAAAAACAACAGCTGTTACCAACAGAGTGATTTCTGTTAATTTTCCAGGAGCAACCAAAAAAGAAATCAGTTAATAAAAATAGAATTTATGTTCTTTGTTTGTTTCCAGATCACCAGATTAAAAATTGATCGAAACCCTTTTGCTAAAGGATTCAGAGATTCTGGAAGAAACAGGTAAGGATAATTGGGAAAGACACCGACATTTCTTTTCTTCATGACATTATTCCCACCCACCCTCCCCACACCCTATTGGTGGCTTTTGGCTCCTGCTTTTTGGGGAATACTTAAGCACTATGCCTCTGTGCTGACTCAGGCAGAGAGATGGATAGCTGATCTGAGAATCAAAAAGCTGTCCCCAAAAGGTTGAGTTTTCCAATTTTTGTTAACACCCTGTACATCACCAGATCAGATCCCTCCTGGTGTTTTTCTCCCTACACCATGCTTGATAATCCAGTCATTTAAACCAAATTTTGTGGTGATTTATTATCATCAAAAGATTGCTCCTTTTTCTGCTAAGTACTCTAGGTGGCTATAGCACCTACAGTGGCACCTCATTTACTTTGTATTATCAAACAAGGAATTGTGGACAAATAAAAATTATCAGAAAATTATCACCTTTAAGATTAGCTAAAAACTGTTAAAAAATTAGCCATTTTTCTCTTAAGAAATATTCCCAAAATATATTAGATGTTGCATGCCTTAGTAAAGACAGTTTCTAGAACATGACCTTTCTTGATGCCCCAGCATCATCATTAGGATTAGGTTATCATGTAGGGAAACTCTTAAGAGCTGCTGACATTTGCAGGACTATTTGCTCTTGTTGTAAGTGGTCTTAGTGGCTGTGGCATTTTTCTGGTTAATTCTGCTTCTCTCTAAATCCTTTCTTTCCCACCCTTCCTATATAAAATTAAAATCTGTTATCCAGAGAGCTAGGGGAGAACTGAAGTTGCTAGGGAACACAGATCTATCTAAGGTCATTCAGTCAGAAAAGCTCACTTTATATAAACCATACTGAAACCACAAATGTGACACGTGTGTCTTGTAAAGTGTGTAGGCTTTGCAATAACCATTTACGTAATGTTCAGACATTTTCCTCATTTGGGGGCATTTCTTTACATTTGAATGACACAGACCGTCAGGAGTTACCTTTGCTATTTTCTCTGCAAGAGTTTTCAGATAAACTATCTAGTATTATATTTAGGATCACTTCATGAACTATATAATAGCATTCTACTAGAACCCAGATTTATGCTAAAAATCATTTGTGGTGATCATTTCCTTTACAAAATTATTTATGGAAGCACTTCTTTTTTTTAAAAAAAGATTTATTTATTTGAGAGAGAGAGAAAGAGAGGAAGAGAGAGTGAAGATAGGGAGGGGCAGAGGGAGAGGGAGAGAGAAATTTTAGCAGACTCCTTGCTGAGTTCAGAGCCCGATGTGGGGCTCAGTCTCACCACCCTGAGATCATGACCTGAGCCGAAACCAAGAGTCAGGTGCTTAACTGACTGCACCACCCAGGACCCCCGAAGTACTTCTTCTTTAAAAAAATATATTTATTTGTTTTTTAAATTCCATTATGGTTAGCATACAGTGTTATGTTAGTTTCAGGTGTATAATATAGTGATTCAACAATTCTATATGTTACTCAGCGCTCATCACAATAAGTGTACCCTTAATCCCCTATGGAAGCACTTCTTTGTGAAACTCTTATTTTATATTTAAAATACATTTAGATTGCTATAAAATTTTATTTACCTCAGAATTTCTTAAAGTTGTATCTACTGAAGAAAAATTCACTTAAACTTCTAGTTTGAAGATGGCAAAATTGTGTAATGTGTCCTAGATCAAGCAAGCAGTTAGTGGTGTGGCCACACTAGATTTCAGGCACAAGAACTCCAGGCCAAATGCTTTCCTGTTCAGCGAAGACCTTTGTCTTCAAAATTTAGCCAATGAGGAATGCATACTCATTCCTTCCATTTGGGACAGTCCTCTTCCCGCCAGTTAGTTTATATTCCATGTTCAGGTGGTAGAACGTGCCTGTGAACTTTTTCCTGTTGCTTCCTTTTCGGGGCTCTGCATTCTAGGCTTATTGAGGATCTTGCCAGTGATGATGTGCTCAGAATAGAAGCTGGCTTTTCGTAAAGAAGCTGCTAGGGTATTTACAATCGTTAGCTTGGAGTCCATGGATGGATTTCCGGGGTTCTGTGAGTTCCCAGGTATTATAAGGAAAATTGGTGTGTGGATAAGCAGGTGTGCATTTTTCTGGGGAGAGATCTATAGCTTTCTTCAGATTTTCAAAAAGTTCCATGTCCAAGAGTTAAGAATTTCTGCCCTAGACACCGTGAGGGGTCAACCCTATGACTTTAGTTACTCAACTACCTTCTCTTTCTTTCCTTCTGTATCTCCAGTGACATTTAGTACTTGCTTGTTTTCTTCTTGGAACTTTGAAGATTGTTTTGATTTTTCTTTGCAGTTTTTCTTCCACTGGAGTCCTTGTTTTTCAGAGGCGTGACCTAGAACAGAACATTGGAATAGAGAGGCTGTACTGAGCAGCATCAGAGTTCTAATCTGAGAACTGTAACCATGCTTTAATCTGGGGAATAAGACCATGTATCTTGAAGCATTTGCCTCTGGTTAGGAAGTTGTGATGACATCTTGGTGCAAGTCCTGGGGTCCTCCTGTCCCCTCACTGGGCTAGAAGGGACCTTGATGCATCATTTGGCCCTGGCCTGGGTCTGCTCTGGGGCTGGTGAATGTCTTCCTGCTCAGGACAGTTATTTGTTTGTCCTGCCTCATGGGTTACTCTTCTTTGTAAGGACTCCACGAAAGCAGAACTATGGATCCTCATTGGCCCATTTCAGTGCCTTATTTGTTTATTTTTCTGGTAGCATGGTGATTCTTTGTGACGTATTCCCCATTAAAAGCTGCAGGCTACTTTAAGTAACATTAGTAATTACTGAAATTATCTGTGATTGAACACTTACTGTGTTCAGACCTTTTACTTAGGGTTTTTTTCTTCTAATCTTTAAAATATTTTACAAATGAAGAAACTGAGCCTCAGAGAGCTTAAGCAGTTTCCCTAGTGTCACAGAGCAAAGCTGGAGCATGGAGTAACTCCCGGTTCGCCTGACTTCAAAGCCTGTGAACTTTGTGCTCTATCATGCTAACAGTTTAAACTTGACTTATTTTGTCTTCAACAGATATGGAGACTAGAATTCCTCTTCTGAAAACCCTTCATTTACTTAAAGATACTACTCAAGTACCCAGAATCTTCTCTCTTCCAAATAAAACAACCTGTATATTCTCCACCTGTCTTTGTAGCCTTCCCCATGGCTTTATCATCTACTTTCTATACTCCCCGTAAACAAGGGGCTCCCTAGTAGAGGACAGGAAATCAGGTTGAACTTCCCTAGCAGGTGAAACCATGACATAATGGCCTTGAAGCCCCCTGTCTCATGAGAGGGCAAAGATGAATCATTGAATATAGAAGCCATTTTTGTCCTCCAGCACTCTGGGAAGCTAGATTAATATAGACCCATGGGGAGCAGGTATAGGGACCCTTGTATTTTGTCTTTAAAAAGCTCAAAATGACCTGACAATCAGGCTTGAAATCTCACTCCCTGCCTGCAGGATCTGATGAGGGCAAGAATTATTAATGTCATTTTGCAGATGGCAAAGATTGATGGATGAGGATATAGGGGATTATTTGTAAATCTTCTGGGATCTGGTGGTTCTGTGCCAACACCAGAATCTAGTTCCTTACCTTCCAACCGGTGCGTCACCTGTTGCCCTTCTTGTGCTAACAGAGTTTTTGTAAATCTATGATCATCCCCATGCATTTTAGACATCAAATGACTCATGGGGCCGAGCATGGTTTGATGAGTTGCATATAAATGTACCCAAAACATACGGATTACATTTCCTTTAAAAACACATGGGCTTAAAAATTTGGGGGGGGGGAGTGCTTGGCCAATATTTTTTGGTTTTGCAGAACACAAAACATTTGTGGAATACTTTGGAGTTACAGAATTTGCCAAACCTCAAACCAAAACACGTTTAGGTTTGTCTATCTCAATCTATCCCACTGCAATCCAAAGGTTCAGGAAGGGAGGGGTGTGGAGGGAAGATGGGGAGGACACAGCACCCACTGCATTCTCTTCCCATGCCTCTCCTGAGTCTGTCCCATCCTAAAAGCCTCTCAGCAAGGCGTCCTCTGAGTGGGACCAGCCAGGCGACAGCCGTGTCCTGGGCAAAGAGAAGAACTTGGGCGGCGGGGGGCGGGGGGGGGCACTGGGGTGAGGACACTTATTTCCATTCCTCATATTTCCATGTAAAGAGATAGCCATGGAGAATACTCCTGGCTTCTAGCCCTCTCGCTTTCTCCATCCCCTCGCTGGGCACCAGAGTGACCCATCTGATTGCTGAGTCTGGGAGAAAGCACTCTTGAGGACCTGCTTGCCTGCACACAGTGTACATTCTGGGCTCTTGCCACTGTGTGGTGAGTCCAGCAGAGGAGACCTGCCATTCCGGGGGACTGGCTTGTTTCAGGGGAGTTCTGACCCACTCATTCAGCCTCCACACCTGTGCCATAGTATCCACACACCTTTATCAATAATGAAACTGGTATTTCGGTCTCCATGGCTTCAGGCTCCTACATCTTTCTCAGACTTTATTCTGAGTTCAAATGAGGACAAGAAGTGACATTCATTGGGCCTTTCAGAACCCCTGCAGAAGCCCCAGTGAATCCACAGTGTCAGCCCTGTGGTGTCACCGTCACCAGACCTTGTCATAGTCTTCCCCGCTTCCTTAGGAAGTGCCATTCACACGCTTCAGTGTGAGAAGGTCACCACTCTCCAAACTGTACTTAGGGAGTTGTTACTTTGTCTTCCTATGTAATTGTGTCCCTGATTAGAAGTCTCCCACCAGAAGTGTGTGTGTGTGTGTGTGTGTGTGTGTGTGTGTGTGTGTGTTCGTGTTGAAGGAAGGAGTGGTAGACAGCTGGTTCTTTTGGATGGAGACACTGTCAGATTTTGCTTCCAGCATTGTCTCTGCAATGGAAGGGCAATTGTGTTTACTTCTAAATTGTCCCTCCTTCTAGATTTCTCAGAAATTATGTGGCTCAAATCTGGCTTTGGGTAGACCCATGTATGTTTACTTTTCATCAGGCCTAGCCC